ATCATTTCACCCCAAACAAGGAAATAAAGTCACTAAGACACAAGGGCTTATTGAGTGTGAAAGAATAAGAAAAAAAGAGAAACATTATTAAAGAGTGAAAACAATAAAAGAAGAGTAATCAAGAAGTTAGTAGATAATGATTGGTGTTGCGTTCAGCATGTCTAAAGATTAAAACCATGTTATTTTTTAACAGGAGCACAGGTTTATCCCTTATTGGGCTTCCAGTTACTTCTAAAGTCTTCTCATTCTCTTTCACTCTCAGTCATCTTTTGCATCTTAGTGGCATTATCACTTTGGTTGGGGTGAATTAATTTAAAAAAAAAAAAGTTAGCTGGAAAGCATGGAGGCAGAAGAGAGAGCTCTACAAGTGAGAAGTGCAAATGAAGAAAATGTTAACATAGAACTTGCTGTTGCAATTAAAATATAAAGAGTTGACATGTTATAAAACCAACTATCTAACCAAAAAGGTTGTCAAAAATAGTCATCCTTACTATTATTAGAAAGGTTTTTGTATGTAAGTTTTTAAATATATTTTCTATTTTCAACTATTTTCTATTAATACATAGTAATTTTGAAAGAAGAGTAATATTATTTAATAAAAATAGAAAACCACCCACTTTATACTCAATAGAATGTTTATACTAATACTAATTCACGTCTGCTGTCAAAAAAGATTAATCGTTTCAATGTAACTTTTCTGCAGGTGAAATCACCGACATTTGTGTATTTGTGAAAGCTTAATAACTAATTGCTAACATTTGTTAACTTCATTAAAAGAACAATATAAGTTTGTAATTTTTGTCTGTGTTTTGTTAAAACTAATACTGTGTCAATTCTCGTTTTCTATTAATGCAAAAAGTAATTTCTTAAACGGCATGATGTTTTTCAGTTTTTTATTGTTACTCAGCAAATTAGATATATTTTACTTGTGTGTGTGTGTGAAATAATCCTGTCATTTCTTATGAGTATTATGTTATATCTATTATTTGTATATTCTAAATCTTTTCTTCCATATATAAGAGTCCTCAAATTTAAATGGGGGGTGGGGGCAAAATATATATATCTTAGGAGAATCCAACATAAACAAATGCACATTTTGAAAAATTGCTGTGTGTGAAACAAGCACTGAAGATGGCCAACTAAATAATATATATATATATATATATATATATATATATATATATATATATATATATATCTCAAGAACAATATTGGGTAAAAATGTATGACAAAGTGGAAAAAAAATTTTTTGATGCATTTTGTTCTTTAGTACTTCATTCAACTAAATTTGTTGGTGCAACTACACATGCACACAAACAAGGGATACTGAGAATTTCAAATTTAAATTTTTTTTTTATCTAGACAATTTCATCTAGGGGTTTTTTTTTTTTTTTTTTTTTGTTTCCATCATTTTTGCTATTAGATATCCCACACTGTGATAATAGAAGATCTGCCAGAATGGAATATATATATATATATATATATATATATATATATATATATATATATATATATATGAAGAAATATAGCCATAAGATGTGCTATATTTATGGGATAAAGTGCTCAATATCAGAGATAGTGTGTATAAATATAAAAGTGAATGTAGAAGTCAACACTTAGAGGCGACAGCCTGTTTCATCCTATATGCAATCATTAGGCCTGACGATTGTATATATCATGAAACAGACTGTCGCCTCGAAGTGTTGACTTCTATGTTCACTTTTATATATATATATATATATATATATATATTCCCAGATCAATTCTGTGGACAAGACAGATTGGTATAAAATGACAATTGGAAAAAATCTTAAATCTTGCCGACGCATTTTGTCTTCTGACAAAAAAAAAAAAAAAAAGTCGGAATATGAAATGCATGAGCAAAATCTAAGATTTTTTCGAATTGTCATTTTATACCAATCTGTCTTGTCCACAGAATTGATCTGGGAATTTAACTATATTGTCGACATGGAAAAAAATAAATTCTTTACTATAAAGGTAATTTACATTAACCAGAAAAAAAAGGCTTTAATGTAACTATAACAACTAAAATATTTCACGATTTCATTTTTTTGCCTTGAAAAAGTCGGAAGACCAAATGTGTCGGCAAAATCTAAGATTTTTTCCAATTGTCATTTTATACCATATATATATATATATATATATATATATATATATATATATATATAAAAATGATAAAACTCGAACAGAACCTGAAACCAAAAGAATTTTGATAATGGTTCATGAAACCCAAAAGTACTTAGACATTGGACAATGTATATTTAAGCTTTTACCAAATATTAGGAAAATGTTCTGAAGAAAAAAAAATTCTTAAAATCTGCAATGACAATTATTTATATAAAATAATGTGAGATTTAGGGAGTTTGTCATAATCTAAAAGCCTGCATCTATGAACACAAGAGAGACTTGTATTTGGAAAATCAATCTAACTTCTTTGCTTTGAATCCAAGTGATGCTAGACATTTTAATTTCACTAATACCACCCGAATTAAAAAAAGAATATAATTGTTAAAGGAGAAAATACATTAAAAACTTAACATTATTACCAACTATAAACACTTGCCTAAAACATTACTTTAGACTGCTATCTTTCCTTGAATCCATTTTTAAATAATCTAACTTATATCTATCTAATACAAAGAATACATTCTTAAAGAGGTGATTCATAAAATCAGAACCCTGCAACTCCACACTATGAGGGTTGGTCGCACAAAGAGGATGATAATAAGCCCCTACTAGACAAACAAATACACACAATTGTAAATACACATAACCATTCATTGCCCACTTAAACATAAAAGATCTTTGCAAACCTACATACAGATAGAATTATCCACAGTTTTATTACACGACATGTATCTGACCAATGAAAACTGACCCAAACAAAATATCAGTGTTTCTGTCTTTTTGTCTGTTTTCTCTCAATCTCTGATGAAGCTTTAATAAAACTGAAACTTGTTATATTGATATACATTTCCTATTTGTTCTGTTATTTTATCACCCTATCGGATTCACATGCACATTGCCCTGACCTCAATCCTTTGGATTTTTATCTGCGGGGCCACCTAAAACAGTAGAGCCACTTATGCAGCAGACATTAATAATGCAGACACACTTCATCAATTTGTCATAGAGGCCTGCAAAACCATTTGTCACCATGTAGGAGTATTTGAAAGAGCCCACTTGCTAATGATCTGATGGTTGCATGCATGTGTAGAAGCAAGCAGAGAAAAGATTGAATATTTATTATGAATTGCTGTGTTGGTGTACAATGACAGTCTTTTGGAGATATGTTTATATGGACATTTTACCTTGTTTTTGTTTCAGGAACCCACCCCCAATGTCGGTAAAAGTATTTTTGACTTGTACATTTAACAGCATCTACCATAAACTTTAAACTTAACTCAAAACAGAAGGATTTACAGACATATGTTTATATGAACTTTTGTCCTCGTTTTGGCGTGAGGAACCCACCCCCAAAGTTTGTAAAGGTATTTTTGATACGTCCTGTATATATAGTAGACTAGCAGTATAACCCAACTTTGCCCGGGTCTTTCATTACTAGGAATTTTTTGCCGTTCAATTGGAGCAGTTTAAGTTTAAAGTCAGCCCACCTAAAAATCAATATTACTAACAACATTTGGTTACAACAGAGGCACATCTTTAATGGGGGGGGTTACAGTTTGAAGTGGGGGATGAAAAGGGAACTGTATAATAATAAATAATATTATTGTACTAATTTAAACTATATTTTAAGTTTTTATGAAAGATATAAATCCAAGAATAGATAGTAAATAGTAAAACGTTGCTGAGAGTTATAATGGACAGGAAGTAGTGGAGAGCCATTGTTGCCAACAATTTGGACTCAAAACCGGCACTGAAGAATTATTTCTTAAACAAAGAAATTTCATCAAAATTGGATGAAAACTGTAGAAATGCATAAACAACATCCGATCACAAACACAGATTTTGAGGAATTATAGATATATAAGATATCAAAATACTCCTCAGCACCTCAACTGCAAAGGAAGACTCAAAACTCTAAAAGCCATTATTATACAAAATAAACAGTCCACATTAAATAAAATGTTTTTCACCACAGGAGATGTTATCGTGAAGTGCATATAATATGATTAATGTTAATATTAGTATAAACAACATTTAAAACATTAATTAATAGATGAAATAAAATAAATAAATTGTATTCTTTTTATGTGGCCTCCTTCCCAATAGCCATTACATATGACATCATGCTAGATTATTTCAAATGTCTAACTTCCCAAAGAATACCAGGATGCAAACAATTCTAACTATTATATAGGCAAAACATCAGTTTTTGATAATGAAGTCAAAAGTACTTGAACAAAAATTACAAAATATGAACTTCAAACAGTTTATCCACAACTTTGAGCACATACTAAACATCTTATCTGAAAATTGAAAAAATATAACAAATGAAACAAACAGATCTTGTCAGTTCTTTTTAGTCAAACTTGTATGGAAAGTGGGGGGGGGGGCAACCCAAAATTTGTAGAATTCTCTCAAAATCAATTTAAAACACAAAGAACATTTTTGGTCAAGTGCTTTTCTTTCTTTCAGGAAGCTGTTTTTTGTAGCTGAAGCTCCTTGAATTTTTAGGTCACACTTGTATGATTAAATACATTTTACATAAGTTCCTGTACTGAGATCAATTGTTTTTAATATTTTTTTTGTTTATTGTTCAGCAAACAGTTGATGATCTTTGTTGTTATTATTTTATTATTATTATTTTGTTTTTATTGTTTATTGTTATTTATCTCTTATTGTTCATGTTTCATTGTATATAAAACCCACTTTCCTCTCAGTCAAAACAGATCAAAATTGTCTCCTACATTTTCCATTCAAATGCACTAAAATTCTTTTTTTATAATGGAGGAGGTCTGTGATATATACCATCAAATACCATATTTTACTATATGGCAGGCATCCACCATTGTGTTTATGGCCACATCATGTTGAAACACCGGTTCCTGTATGATCCCCAAAGTTAAGCAATATTGAGCCTGGTCAGTAACTAGATGGGTGACCACTTGGGAATACCAGTTTCTGTAAGCTGGGATGCAGGGGTGGTATAATGGATACTGGGTCAAAATTGTTAATTGGAGAGACAAGTTCCATTTTCAATTGGGTTCATTATGTTCACTTACATGCAAGTATCCTTAGGAAACATATGAATCCAACTCTTCTCTCCCTCAGCTATAGGTTAATTAGTAAGAATTGTATTGCCAGATCATTATTATTATCTTGAAAAATATTCTTACAATCTAAAAATGTTTTCTGGCTTTAAATAACCCGCAAAGTGTTGATAAGCCAAAAAAAAAACAAATTAATCTATGAAATACTGATTAGTTGATTTATTTACTTTCTTTGGAATATAAATGTTTAGAATCTACCATGGCCACAATATGAAGGTTCAGTTTATATATTTATAGAATTTTTCCTCCTCTTTATATTCACATTATAATTTCTTGTTTGTTTATCAAATTCTGATGAGTTCTGAATCCACCTCTATCCTCCAGATATGGGTTAATTAATAAAACTTGTGTCACTAAAACTATTATTATCTCAAAAAAAAATCTTACCATCTAAAAATATTTTCTGGCTTTAAATAACCTGCAAAGGGTTGATAAACCATAGAAAACAAAACAACCAGTCTATGGACAGTCTACTTGGGTGGCTAGTTAATCCCCCTGTCACATTTTTCTTTCTTTAACCCTCTCACAGACAATCTGTAGTCAACTGCAACTATGCTGAGCAGACCTTAGTTATAATTTTTGGAAGAGATTACAATCTGGTGTAATCATTAATTGAACAAGAGCAGTATGCTCAAAACCTCGGTCATAATGACTTGTGACTTCATGCTAGTACACCCATGTTATATATGCCGCATATATATAGCACAAGCATGGAGGATTCTCCTATCATTTTCTATGTATGAAGGTCTAGCATCTCAGTTCATAGAACTGAACAGCCACAATATCTGTTTATATTTCTGAGAATCGGTATTGTAATTACAGTATTCAAGCTGTTGTCCTCATCTTTATTGTCATATTCACATGGCCCAGCAGATAAAAGCATTGGTTGGATCCAGTGACTTCACCGAAAGAGTTGTGAGTTCAATACCTGGATACTGCAGTGCTGAATAAAAACTTGGAGAGTTGAGTAAAAAGGGAGATAACTGAGACATCCAGAAGAGGCATAGCATGGGGAACCAGAACAATCTACCCCAGTGGTGGACAAAATAAATGGTCCAGTTTAAATTCTAATCACCTGAAGAAGGCTGTACTGTACAATGGCTGAAATGTTGTGAATATGGCAATAAAGATGAGGACAACAATCCAAGCGATGTAAATAATGAACAGCCAGACTATCGACATATAGTGGTGAAGGTTTGTACAGAGCCAACTATACTTTTTGGAAGAGCCGAATACAGAGAACTGGTGCACAGTATTGCCAAAAAGTTACTAAATAACTTTCCTCAGGTTTTGAATTCAGATTTGTCCTTCTCCTTTACTGGTTACCACTCAAGGCTATAGAACCAAGTCTGTCTTGCTATTCAGCTGGTGGGCTAATCTCACATGAGTGGGTGGTGTTAACATGGCACCACTGGGCAAAGGACTTCCTCAACACAGGTCACTGACCAGGGTGGTAGGGTTTTTTAGATGAACAACAGCCCTATGTTTGCAAGCAAGGCAAGCCATCTAGTTTGAGGACATTGGCTGCAGTCTAACCTGGAGAAGGATGAGCTGAGCCAGATTAAAATGCCTAAAACATGCCACATGATGAGCTTATTAAGAAACTATCTGCAGAGACCCAGGCTCTAGAACAAGGGAGAAGATATATAAATAAAATACATTATTGTTATTTTTATTATTTTTTTAATACTTTTTGTTATTGGGCAATGAAGATTTTGCTTCTGGGTTAAAAACGTTTGGTCTAGATTAAAATGTTTATACTGATTCCAAATTCATGCATTGATTAAAAAATAAAATTATCATAAATAAAATGTTATTTCTCATCACTATCTAAATTTTTGATGAATATAAATGTACAACGTACAGTAATAATTTTGTCTGATTTTTTAGATGAGGAATTATCAGCACTCGTTATATCCTATATAATAATAATAATAATAATAATCCCAAAATAATAGATCCCTGAAGATGGCAGAAGAATACTTGACTGAAACATCATGTCCAACAATAACATACTATTTACCTTGTGTATAAGTATTCTTCGCAGATATCATAAAACCCTGACCTGCCCAGATTTACCTGAATATAGATTCAGAACCGGTTGATACAATTTAGTTTTGTACAGCATCTTAGTGACAGACAAAGGTTTTTTTTTTTTTTTGTTTCTCTTTCCTTGCCCATTGTTATTTTCCTGTTATCATGTATTGTTCTTTTAATTCTTGTTTCTATGTATTTTATCTTTTATATGTCTTTATATTTTTATATTTATCTACAGGAGAAAATGATATATAAATTTTTATATACCAGAAAGGAAAATTAATGTGTAAAATTTTTCTCATGTGACACATTTAATCAGTTAGGACTTCAACAATATGCACAAAGTATTAGTTACTCACCATAACAAACCTAAATAATTTCAATTTTAAAAAATGGCACTTTAATTAAAAGAGAAAGCAATTTAGTAAGATAAAAGTATATAGAAAGTGCTTTAATCACTAGACATTCCACAGTAAATTTATGTCTAGGTTCATACAACATTTCACCTTTCTTGGTAGATCTTCCATTATCACAATGTGGATATTTAGACTAAATGAAATTGAATAGACTATATACCAGAACACATATAAAAAAAAATAAATTAAATTTAAAAGTTTCAGTAACCCCATTTTTTCATGTACATGCATAGATATATGAACATAACATCACTTTTGTTTGAAGTCCTAAAGGATGAGATGCCCCATGTAAAAAATTTTTACACTTTGTCATTAATTTTCCTAACATGTATCCTCCTAACTACTTATCATACATGGGAGGTAAGAATAAATTTAGAGTGTACTAACATGCAACAATATTAAATGCAAAAGGTTTAAAAAACGTGAGAAATTTTACTCAAAATGCATCAAAGAGTTGTCTAATGATTGGAAACAATTCATTGCAAATCATGGTGAATATATAATGAAATAAAATGTAATTGTACATTAGTTTTTGAAGAATAAAGTTGACAAATAAAAACGAAAATTATTTATGAATCAGTCTTATATATATTTGTATGTATTATTTATTTATTTACATTGAAATGTTTTATTAAATAGAACGGACAGAGAATGTCTGTTAATTCTTTTGGTGTGTCTTTCTTGGTGTTGAATAAATCATTTGATGTTTGGTGGAAAATTGTAACCCTGTTTCCACAGATATAGCAATGTTTTTTGTTTTTTTTTTTAAAAAAAACTACCCTGTCTAACTCTCAGTTTTCTACTGTCTTTCCTTGTAAACTACCAATGACAGTCAAAACTACTCATAACATAATTACAATCACTTCTCACTTAATGACTTGGCTTTTTTATTGATCACCAAACTTACAACCCACTGTGAAAATCTTTTAAAAGAAAAATCTAACCAGTCGATTATAATTGTCTTCTCTTTCTTCAAAATGAATCAAAATAAAATGAATAAAGTGAAAAATAAGAATTTGCTTATAATGTAGTTACCACATACAAATATAGTAATATACAGAATTTGTTTATTACATTTACTGTTTAGTACACTATGTACTGCAGCGTTTCTCAACCTTTTTACCCTGCATAAAAATTATATATCATTATTATTTCTTATCTCAATGATACATGAATCTACCACATACAGGTCCTGTCCACTAACTAGTAAAGGTAGCTTAACACTGACGCCATATAGACCGCTAAATACAATTCCTATGATCATTATAATTTTAAATAATATTAGAGGTTGAAGCCTTTATTATAATAATCAAGGATTTTCCAACAATAAGTTGTATGAGTATAGTAAAATGACAAATATAAAATTCAACAAAAATTATTAAAACAAGTGTTACTCTATTTATCACTGTTTCTAGGTCTCTGGGGAACACCGGATGAGAAACACATACTGTGTAAACATTTAGAAATCAATTAGTGTTATGGTGCAGGTTAGGACCAAGGAAGAACAACACGAACACAAGAGTAGAAATAACGAAGGTATATTACACAAAATAATAATACAAGATGTGGAAAGTGTTAGTATGACTGTCATTCTGGTTTGGAGTGAACTACTATCAGCTCGATTTGATTTGACCATCTCCCTTGAGAGGCATAGTATACATAGTGTTAGGAAGAGTTCATTCTGTAGTTATAGGTAAGGACCTATGACAATTAGAAATAAGAAAATATTGCAAAGTGACATTAAAACTATCTGAAGCTGGTTGATACAAACTTGTTACATATATCATCATAATGACTAGGTAGATTTGTAGGGTTGCTGTGCAGCTTAGGCACCTGACCAACTCCCTTCATAATGTTTTAGCTGCATGCCAATACCTGTGTCTTTGTGAAAGGATCTTCCAATCATCACAGTTTTCCTGTTTGCCTCTTCTTCTGCTTAAAGTGGTACCTTGTAGGATGTTAATGAAACGATTACTCTTAACTCTTTCTTGTGGCATGGTGATTTTCTAAGCATAGCTCAGATGTGGCACAAGGCCAAAAATCTGGAGCACCCAGTAAGGATCAAACTCACTACTCAGTTGTAATTGTTCTAGTGAGACCAGCTTGCTAACCATTACACCACATCAAACTCTTTTATGTCACGTCACTGTGGTGAAGGCTTCCTAGACTGGAGTCAACAGCCAGGGTGGAGGGTTCTCATGAATGAAATCATTAACCCTCTGTCCATGATCAAGGTGTGCTTTTAAGTAGGTTATCAGTGGTCTGATCTGGAGAAAAATGAGCTCCACCTTATTACATGCATAGCATACCTGAAATAGCGATCAGGTATAACTTTTCACTTAGTGACCAATTCATTGGAACAGAACTCCATTAACGAATGAATGACTTTATCAGTGCAAATTAGTAAAGTTTGTTTTTATCATTAACTAAATTTAGAAATCCTTTATTAGCCTGAAATTGCTTCCAATTAAATCCTTATTGCAAAAAGCAAATAAAATGGTTGGATAAAAGAAAGAAGTACTAATTATATCTTGGATTGAAAAATTCTTTTTTTTTTTTTTCTCTCCTCCTACTAAAAGCCAAAAAAAAACAAAAGATACTCCATACATATTGTTCAAACAATTTTACCCTTTTATATACTCAGTATTGGATTTTGTTAACAACCTTTTGTTTGGTCTATTATCCACCCTTTGTCAGGTGTAAATCATACTTATTATAAAACCCAGGTTGTGTGTGTGTGTCTGTACGTTTATATATTGGATCGGATTTCCTACATTTTTCAACCAATTTCAACAAAACTTCACAGGACTACGTAAAATTACCTTGCGGTGGTTCTGACAGTGCCAAAAATTGAAAAAACACAATTGTTTTTGCACAAAATCAATTTAAAACATGATTAAGAGGCATCACAAGACTGAAAGGGGGACAACTCATATCAAGTTATGCTTATTATAAAACCCAGGTTGTTTGTATGTGTGTGTGTTCATTTATATATGGGATCGGATTTCCTACATTTTTCAACAGATTTTAACAAAACTTCACTTTTTTTTTTGGCAGGTAGTGTTTCTTATTTTCTTGCACACTTTTTTCTTTATTTTTACATTCAGAATGCTTTAAAAATTCCATTTACAAGACAATTGTTTATAATAAAATCCTATTCAATCGGTAAACTCATAACAATTGAAAACAATGTTTTTGTTTGAGTTTGGGTTTGACCAATTCGTAAAAAAAAAAATAATTAAGACATGCATGTCCGTCAACTTTAAACAATAATCTTTGTCAATTTTATTTTTCAGTCTTTATAATGGTCTATACTTGATCTATCTCTTACTGTTACATCCCCGGGCACGCCAGGCTCTACTGCTAGTTCACAATAAAAAGGAAGAAAAGAAACCCAAGTGTTCCCTGAACAATAGTCCTAAATATATTTACTGGATTAATCCATTACAACAACATTAAGTACATTATACCACCACCCAAGTCGGTCATGTCATCTGCACCTGAGATCATAGTCCTTGTGAATGCAATGCTCCTTCCAATAGCTGTGTAGTATATATCTTGCCATGGCTATATCAGTCATTCATGTGTGATGTGTGATACATGCTTAGGCAATCATGTATCTTTCAATAGATGACTGACAAGGCAGATTTTTTCCCCACAGTAGGTTGCCATTTCTTTTTGCAATAGATCAGTTGCTATCCAAGGCTACAGGACCCGATCTGTCTTGCTATTTACCCATAGCTGAGGAGAGAAAAGAATTCATACATTTCACAAGGGTATTAGCATATAAGTGAATGGATTCGAGTGGAATTCAAACTCGGCTCTCCAATTCCCCAAATGAACCTTGAACTCAGATTTGTTGTTCTAAACTGTTTGCCAACCACAGCTATAAAGCCAGGTCTATCTTGCTGTTTAATCCATACCTAGGAGGAAAAGCAAGGGATTCATACCCCTTTTTTTCTATCTTTTACTCAAGGCCCAAGAGCTACTCAAGGTAGAGGATTACTGAGTGAGGTTGTTCTCCAGGAATCAAAGTAGAACTTCTTGAGTTGGAAATATTATGCCTGACTGTGCATCTCGGATACCAAGCTTACTTGTTTGAGAGGAATAAAGGAGGAACCATTGGAGGAGGGGGTCATAAAGGCTGCTTGGGATATGAGCTGACATCCCCTACTCTCATTTTCTATAGAATTACTGTTAGACTATAGCAATAAGGAAATATCTATAAGGAGATTAGGGGTCTCCCAAGTATATTTGTGCAGATCTGAACACATTGGCTCACAATTTGAGTTTTGTAGCCCATTAAAATCCTAAGAAGACCACAAATTCTACAAGATACCCTGCTGGAGCCCAACCTTGTTTTTAATTCAGAGTTATCCTTCTCCTAGACTGATTACTATCTCAAGGCAAGAGAACCCAGTCTACCCTGCTATTTAACCCATAACTGGAGGAAGATGGATTCATGTTTTTCAAAGAGCATTAATGCAAATTGAATGAAACAGAATTGAATGTGAATTGAACCTGGCATGCTTAATTCACTTTCTGTGCTGATAACCCTAACACTATCCATGTTTCGAATGCAGTGAATTTGACTAGAATTCAAACTCAATTTGTTGATTTTTCATTCCAAACTGCTAACTCTTACACCTCTGCCTGGATATTTTCTACACCCCAAGTACCCAGATGATTTAAAACTATAAATTAAATGAGGTGTTGGCAATTTCCTTTGGTATGTTTTCATCTGACCTCAGGAGGTACAGATAGTGTATGGATATCATTTCAGAAAGTGAATTAGGCGTGCTGAGTTCAATTCCCCCACTCAGTTATCTTTTGTCCACTTCATGCTAATGCTCTTTGAAAAAAGTATTAATCCATTTACCTCTAGTTATGGGTTAAATAGCAAGACAAACTGGGCTCTCATTTCTTAGAAGCAGTAACCAATCTAGGAGAAGGATAACCAACCAGTTGGGCTCAGGCTATCTTGCCCGAGACACACCGCTGTTGCTATGGCCACAGTACCTGGGTTTTCCCTACAATACTAATGAGTTATACGACACACACACATCTGATCTCAAATGACTTACTGTATATACTTATGTATAAGTTGGCTTTATGTGACTCTTGAATTTTTTTTGTATGAATTTTAACCTTTCCAGGAATAAAAAATTTACTTGTTTTTCACCAAAAATGCATTATTTTTAACCTCTTAATAGATCATGTCTAAACAAAGGTTTGCTGCTTTGAAATAAAATGTCTAAAATATATATTTTTGTTGTTGCTTTCAGGCGAGGGACAACGGCCTTTGTTATTTCCTGGATTCTCATCTATATTATCATCCAAACGTGCAAGTTACTCTCTGCAACAGATTACCTCGTGTGTTTGGCGAAGATTAACCGGACTCTAATCCACCCCCGCAACATTCACAACTGGCAATCAATTCATGAACGCAGGAGGGATGTCCTCTTGTATTCGGCTCATTACCGGCCTCTTGGAGACACCCAAGCTGTCCATGTGCTCGCAGTGGGAACAGGCATTCCTACAGGTTTCGTGTGCATGTTGTGGTACCCGGACTCCTTCTTCCCAGTCATCGTCAAAGCCAACACGTTAAATCATGATGTTGATGAGGTCAGGAGAGGGAAGATTATTGAGCAGTTCTTCTTCACATGCGCATGTAATTCCACCCAGGTGCCAGTCTACGTGTCTCTAACAGGCCCCCGATGTACCATGCCAACAACGTTCCTTCACGTGCAGATCCCACAGAAAACCACACCGCAGAAAGAGTTTGGTATCTGTATGTCCAGCACTTCTTCCAATGTTCATCCGCTCAGGATTATTGAGTGGATGGAAGCCCACCAAATGTTTGGCGTTGACGAAATCACTCTCTATTATCACTCACTCTCAAACAACATGTCCAGAATTCTTAATCAGTACCAAAAAGAAGGATTTGTCAGGTTGCAGTATATGTCCGTGCCAAGACGGTATGGGATTTGGTCAGATTTCAAGATAATCTCCTCCCTCTCACTGAATGATTGCATGTGGAAAAATATGTATCGGTATCGGTACATTTTTATTCTTTTAAATTTTGACGAAATTATAATCCCTCGAATACACAGGAATTATAGCGAACTGATTGACTATGTCGATCGAACTGAGGGCCTACTGATGCCCGCAGCGTCATACACATTTCAAAACACGATATTTAATCTTTGTTCAGCAGATGTAAAGGACCCGGCTTTCTCGAACTTTCTACGCTTTTTGAAGCGTGAGCCACCTAGTGAGGAGATGCGTGATTTTCGATCACTAATCAATCCCAGATATTGTCTTTCCCTCTTTATGCACTACTGTCATTGTTTCGTCTCGAGTGAAGCAATGCCCTGGACGGTGAAAGTGCGACAGCACATAGCTCTAACTCATCACTATCATACAGTACCCAAGAGTAGAGTCAGCTGTGATAATCTTAAAAAAAATTTATCTCTCGACAAAACTGTAGATCGCTTTCGCAGGTCTCTGAGCAAGCGCTGTGAATCTAAAATTGCTCAACACAAACTTTAAATCGGTCTTTTTTTTTTCTTCTTTTGGGGTCAGGGTATGTTTTATGAAAAGAAAATAAGAAAAAGAAAACAATAACAAAGTATTTTACAGTCTTGTAAAATCCTTTCCGCTTTTGAACAAGCAGAGGTTATCTTCATAACCGATTTGTCAGTGTGAGAAAAAGAATATTACCATTTTTACCTGGACTTGCAATTCTTCAGGGTTTGGAGCAGACGTTCTGTGGATTGTCCTTCAGAATAATCTGGCCCTTTTTATTTTTTTTATTTTTTATTTTTTTTGCTTATATGACTGGTATTTTTGTGAAGAGTGTACAACTATATACCACCCCTATGATCACCAGAGTTAAGTAATGTCGAGCCTGGTCAGTACCTTGATGGGTGACTGCTTGGGTATACCAGATACTGTAAGCTTGGATGTATGGATGGTGTAATGGATAATGGCCGGGAATTGTTAATCAGCAAGCAGTATTTCCATTCCTGTTGGCTTCATTATATTCACATACACGCAATTACCCTTGGGAAAGGTATGAATCAACTTCTTCCCCCTCCACTATGGGTTAATTATTAAGATTTATATCACCAAACTACTGTTATCGCCAAAAATAAAATTGCTTACAAAATATTTAGATTTTGGCATTAAATAACCCTTAAAGATGTTGATATGCCACTAAATAAAGACAACCAACCAAATTTATACCAGTCTTAGCCTTACATATTAGGGTGTATCAAAATTATGTCCACCTTTTCTTTGTTTTTTTTTTTTTGTTTTTTTTTTTTTTTTTTAATCAACTTTTTATTTTATTTTTTTTAAGCTCATATAATCCTCTACATCTAACATCTTTACCCTTTATCACTCTCTGTTTGATTTCATTTATCACTCTCTATGTGATTTCATTAGCTGTACAAAAAGTTTAACCTGCCACTGAACGGGACTCTGATCCTCGAACGATAATATATCTGAATTTCGTAGTTGTTTTATGTCCTGCTATGGCAACGGAGAACAACCTTGAGTGAAATTAACAAAAAGGATACTGCAACTGAGAGAGCTTGAAAAAGAACACAGTAAAAAGGAAGTAATATTAATAATGCAGAGTCTTAAAAGTTTAAATGATCCAAACTCTTCCAAAAGTTTTCAGATGCTGCTGGTTAGGTTCTCATCCAGCTTCTGCAATCAAGCGTCATAATTAACGATGATCCAATTGTCCACTTCTAGGCATTATTTCAAGGGACAAGTCACCACTCTTAAAATACTTAAACCCATTTTGGGCAGTACAGTCTGACATTGTTTCATTTTCTTCTACTTTCTGAATTCTGTGAACAGCATCAGTGACTTTGAAGCCCAGTTTAACCTTTACCATGCTGCAGGCAAAAATTGTTGCTGTAGAATTCTCTCCCTTTGCTACTCTAGGCACATTCTGTCGCCTTGAGACAGTTGCTATAAATAAACACTTGTCAACTGTTATTTCTGGTATTTTAAGCTGGAAATCGCCTACTACTGCTTTGTAACAAGGTTAAACTTCCATTTTCCAATGCCATTTTGAATTCTTCTAGACTCTATATGAAGTGTAAAACTGATTAAACCCATGTTAATTCGTGATTTTTGTAAACAAAAATGGCCACTTCAGTATCCAACAAAGTTTTTATTCAGTGGTTTTTCTTTGATTAGGACTTTGATGATGATTTTGAAGTCTTTACATGAGTGGATATTGACAGTGAAATGGTTGAAGTGTACAAAAATTAAAATCTACATGCACAATACAAAGTTAGTTATAACAATTTTAAAACAGTAGGTGTTTGTGTTTTTGCACCCTAAAAAAATACAGTGGCAGGGGAAACAATTCGAGAAAGAAATTAGTGTGGTAAAGGTTAAAATAATATCTCAGAATTGACAAAATCGCTATGTACTTCTCATATTAACAGCTGAAACAATAGGTACGGCCAAACGGTATTGATAAGGATACAGAATTTTCTTAGTAATTTTCTGGTGTACAATGACCAACCACTATTTATAGTTTCATGTGTTTGCATGCAATCATCAGGCAGTCAGTAACTATTTATTGTGAAATGGACTTCGGCTAGCTCATGATGTTATGAAGGTAGCTGATGTGACCATAATGTGTACATGCCAACTACACTTACTGAGGGTGCAAATAAGCATACAGCAAAGTTGGAAATGAAAAATAATCACCATTACTTGGCAAAGAAAGAGAAAAAAACAAACACCAAAAAAGGGTCAAAAGCATGCCTAGAAAGTGCTCAATAGCACAGTAGCATAAGAAACAGTAAGGTCTCAGCAAAGGAACATAACACTAAAAGTAAAATAATGCTTGAAAATACTGAACCCTCAAAGATTATATATATATATATATATATATATATATATATATATATAAAATGTGTGTTTACATACATTTTATATATATATATATATATATTTATTTAAATTAAAACCATGCTCACAACACAATGCTACTTCTGACATGAGACCTCTGTTTACCTTCCGTTATACGTCATTGATAACGGGGACTACGAGCGCATTGTGTTTTGTTTAACGATCAAAAGCAAACACTTTTATTGAACACAACATTGGAAAATCTGACTTGCAGTCGCACAAAAAAATTGCAGAGACTGACATGTCTACACTGATAAACAAAACCCTGTCCAGTGGCAAAAGCTGCTGGTGGTGCCAGTACCACCTCAGCCACCAAAACTGTGTTATCTCCCTTGCTTGGCAGCTGATGAGGGCAGGATATTGCATGTACTTTCACATATTCTCTGTAGAAAAAAGAAAAAAAATATGGTGAATTTAGATATGTAAATGAAAGACTATGGAGTAAAAGTCTTCAAAAAAAAAATTAAAATACTACTTTTGATACACCCTAATAATTTTGTTAATCAGACAAAAGCCACAGTTTACAATGTAATATGGCTCTAATTTTGCCAGTTTATCAAGCTTAATGAGTTACTAAACAATAAAAGAAAACTATTGATTCATTTTGGACGCGTTTTCCTCCTGTTTATCACACTTTGAATGCTATACTCTGTGTCCTTCCTGAGATATCTTTCATATTTGGTAAGAGACTTCCAGAATTTAGGATTAGTGTGTTATCTTTTCTTCTCCTCTGCCATGTTCTTCTCTTGGGGTAGGATGTGGCACCATGTTCTTGTTTTCAGGCAAGACATAGGTGACATAACAGGAGACAGTACCTACCTACTTTCACTTAAGTGGAAGTGTCAGAGTATTCTGACCTCTATATAACACTGTGTGTGAAGCTGACTGTGTGTCACATCCTGCCCTCATAGAGAGGTTAGTGATATCAGAGCTTCTGATGGATCACTTTATTTCATCTACATAGGATATGCTGTTTTTATTCCTATTCCTGGCATTTCTAGTGTCTTTCAGAAACAAAAAAAAAAACACTGCCTGATTGTCTGTCATATGAGATATGGCTTCACACTGGTAAAGTTCATTTGTTAGGGACTGGAGTTCACCCCCTGGGTCAGGTAGTGCAAAAATATAAACTGGCTCAGTAAAAAAAAACAGTTCCTTAGAAAGATGAAAAACTGGTGGGTCAAACAGAGGACTATTCCACATGCCTGAAAGCTTACCAAATGTTATGGACATCTGAGGAAGACTGAAAAAGCATTGGCAGTAAAGGCAAGGAAATTGGTTCAAATGAATTGAATATTTTATACTAACACCTTGTTTCAAAAAGACAAATGAGAAAAATAAGTTTTGGTGTATTACTAAAGTTTAATCCCCAAAAAAAAAACTGAAAAAAAAAATTAAAACAAATTTTAAAAAGAAAAAATTAAAATCCACGTCAATATCAATTAACCTTTGGAAAAAATCAACTAAAAACTCGGATATTAAAATTAAAAAAAAATATGTAAATTTTATTTTATTTTTTTAATCAGTTTTCTCATACAAAGAGATTTGAAATTTACATTAACCCATTGCGCACTTTGAAGCGTGAATTAAGCCGGATAATTAAGCAACTTTTGATGGATTAATCAAACTTTAAACGATTCTTTGTAATTACTTCCCTTGAACCTAATCAGGTAAAATATTTCAGCTATACACTCTAATAAACATAAATCTTAAATTTTGTTGTTTTTTTTTTTAATAAATTTATTTCATATTCTAATCTCATAAATCCAGGCCACACACATTGTAGTGACCCTCACCTCATTCCTTCATATTCCATTGATGAGATGTACGTTTGACTTGAAAAGCTTCCTCCCATAAACCACTATTTTGTAGAACTAACTCCCAAGAGAATGCTTCCCCAATCACTACAATCTTACCCTATTCAAATCTAGAGTTAACTGTTACCTTCCCCACATATCCTCATAAACTGTGCCCCTTACCGCTTAATCTGTAACCCACTACCTTGAGTGGTTCTTGGGCCTTGTACAAGATGAACATTATTGTGTAGAAAAAAAAAATGTAATGCGCTTCTCAAACTATTCTATTCATCATTTGGGTCACAATATCTGAATCCATGAACAACACTTTCATTCTCCAGGGTTACACGAAATTTAAAAAAAAAAAAAAAAAAAAGTAAAGCATTTTATTTTTGCAGGGGCAAATCCAGGATTTTGTCTAAGGTAGGTTCCAAATTAAAAGATAAAGGACACCATTATCTTGAAGAGTTTTGGTGCTTTCTATAAGTTAGGTATGGATGGCTCATTTATATCTTCATGTTGTATACATTTCACGTTAAGTCAAAATGTTGAAATATATTTGTATGTAATATTGTATTATTATCAAAAGTATAAAATATTCACAACACTTATCAAAAGACTGACTTAACATTTTACAATGTTTTACTCACCAGGGTTCAGACAAGAATATTGTATTATTAGTAGAATATGTTTTTAAATATTTATTATAGATGCTAACCAAATTTCAAATGTTCTACACTGACAGCTGCTAATATCATTACAAGAGATGAAAACCTAAATATTTGAAATATATACATGCACATATATGTTTAT